GGGAACAAAGTAAAGTTGACGTTTGGTTTGGTCACGGTTTGATTACAAAAGCAGTAATCTACTGGATGTTGTAAGTGACACATTTGTCAGACCCATTCGCCATACGCTCGATTTTGCTTAGGACACAGGTCGGATGGATTTAATTGGGAAGCGTTGATTGTAGCACCACTTCCGTTTTTACCGACCTTTGTCACTGACGCATTTCGCAAGCACGTGTGCGTGAAAATATATGCAAGCATACACGCGCTGTACTTATTATTATCTTGGTGATCCTTATGTTGGTATACACACACACACACACGCGCGCAAATACACACGCGTCCATGCAAGCTGCTGATGCACGTGGATATCTGTGTGTGTGTTTGTGTGAGTGTGCGTGCGCGCGTGCCTGCGTACGAGAAACCAAAGACCAATCAGAATCTCGAGCTAGAGCGTTAGACTGATTGGTCGGAAATAAACGGGTCAATAGCTCGTGGTCTCACACAGCTGTTCACCGGGCCCCCAAGGCTGTTGGTTTGACTCGAGCAGCAGAACATGCGAGTGGCCTCCTACCTGCCTGACTGCCAGCCAGCCAGCCAGCCAGCCTGACTGCCTGCCTGCCTGCCGCTATTCGTATCTGCCAATTGTTCACTTAATCATCAAAAGTCCATTCAGTGTACCATATTCCTCCCGATTGACTCGATAGCGGTGTGGTCATAATCCTTGTATTCTACAATCCACCTCACAGGATGTGTCTAAATCAGTGGATTAGTGGATTTCTGCTCTTTCATTTGAATATCGGTCGGTAAATATCGCGTTGGACTATCTTTTCCTTGCCTGTTGGCAAATTTCTGTGTTTGTGCATGTGCGCATCTTCTTCGTCCCGAACCGATCAACATGGATGTAGATCTGAGTGAATTGGACGAATGGTTGGGCACACTTGAAGAACTTCAGCTGGTGAGTCTTTTCCCCGTGTACTGGTGGATTGATTTATTGGCCCTACTCTGAACCCAACGCGCAATCCCATGGGCATTTGCCCGGTGGACTTACACATTGAAAGCAAACAACGGGAAATCCACTTTGAAAAGCATTAGCTGTTGTTGTTTCGCTCGATATTTGTTTAGCAAAACCCTGCTGACCCCGTTGTATCAAGGAGTTCTCTCTGAACTGACAGGACCGCTCACACGGTCTACTTGAAACTGGATCGCGAAGGGTTGCACTTTCCATTTTGAAAGCGATAATCTGGCGAAAATGTTCGATTTGCAGAAATGGATTTGGATTAGGATTTGTATAACTCAAAAATGTGCTTGCCTCTGCCCGAACTGTATCGCTGCTTGTGGATATCTTCATTTAGCATTTCAGCTATCCGTTAATTCAATTTTTTAAACGTTTTCCGGCTGCTTTTAGGTAGATTACTAAATTAAAATTATAACCTCTTGGTGTAGCTGTTCGAAGTCCTGTCCTTATTTTGCATTATAAAGCACGCAAATGTGCACCGTCATATAGGCCAATTCCCCGTATTAGCACAATTTCATTGTACTTTAGGATTCGTATACTTTGACAACAAGGTGGAATCATTTTCCCAAATCTAAAATGAATACACGGCAAAAAACCATGGCTCTTCCCAATGCTCGTGAATCATACTACCGGTTCGGTAAAGTAACTACCTGATCAGAAATTCAATGCCACAAACAAACGTCAAAAAAATGAATAGGGAAAAGTAGGGATAGTTTACCGTTTGCAACAGCTCGTTCCCTCTCCCCTCCTCATTCACCCCACAAACTCACAAAATAACCAAATAATAGAATAATATGTAAATGTTTTCTTTCATGCCATAGAGTAATCTGACCACAACAACCAATTCAACCTAGGAAAGAACGGCTAGGTGAAACATCGAGGGATCAGTTATTTCTCTCTATTACTGTCCTGAGTTTGCCATTATTCGATCGATAGTGCAAATTGTTGTTTGGTAGATTTGAAGTTTGTATGTCGGTTGTGAAAAGTACAGTAGCCTCGTTGGGATTCGAACCCATNAAGCTACGAGGCTACACCGATAGTACTGATCTTTTCATGTTCGAATTCACCAATCCAACTTACAGGGGCATGTGACATCCAACGAATGAGCTCATTCGTTGGATTCCGGTGAATTCTAGGGAAAATCTATCGATAGTGTTAGGGCGAGTGTCAGGGCGAAAATTTTGCCAAAGTACAACTATTTCACACTTCATTCAATGTGTTGGACAAGAAACACTTTATTTCACGTGGACGTTAGATAAATGCACCGTTTGACTTGATGGGTGTTTCCACACGTCTGTCTGTGTATTGTCTCGGTTGTTGCAGCCATGGTAACTATCTCATGTTTGCAGCCTTATCAGATGTGATGATGCTTGTGATCGTGGTGGTGTTAGTGGTGGAGGTGGTGGTGGTGCTATAGCGGCTGCTATACATGACATTTAAATTTTCGGTTGTCGTCAGAGAATTTCTGAGACAGACGTGTAATTAATTACTGTCTAAACCACCACAAACCTGAAACGATTGAGACAAAATTTCCTATCGATTCGCATGATTCAGGAAAATTTATTGTCAACTACATGTTACGATGCGAATGTGTAGTTATCGGCAAATTGTTATAGAGCAATGTTTAGCATGAGGCGATCGGAGTCTGGACTGCCCAGGTTTTCCAGAAACCGGTATTCTCATTGAGGTTATCGATTCATCAACAATTGTGTTCCTTTCCATTTATTTGGACATTTGATAAATTATGCAGGGGATTTCATCGTGTACAGAGAATCGAATTCGAGACCTCACAGGTAGAACGCAAGCATACTGTCAAATTGACCAGCGGGTAATTACTGGTCGACTGTGTCTTGGGTGGCCTGCGTATGTGGGTGTGAAGCTGGGCTACTGGCGAATTTACTGCAACATTATTTTCACAATCAGATAAGTTAGTCGGTAATTGAACAATGGATTTCTGCAGAATGAAAGAATTTGTCTGTATGGTTAAACTAGTTGCACAGTGCTTCTTAGCTTTCCAATTGGCGTTCCGTTTCCGTTGTACGCGACGAAAATCGCCAAATAATCGAATCAAATACTTCAGAACTACGATGTAAGTGAATTCGGGCTCAGAATGTCTCCAGTCGAGTCCTACTCCTGGATGTGTGGCTGTTTTGCCTGCGTTCTGCCGGCCTGGTCCCGAGTTCGATTCTCAGTCGGGTCAATGGAGTCATGTCGCTGATCTCAGACCCAGTCAGAACGAGACACCTGTACAGTGCGTCCCACCATTTTAGTTCACGTTTCAGTTGCTCTTTTCACGGCAAATTTCCGCATAAAGTATGTTTATACCAAAAAGAGATATTTAATGACACTGTCATTCATTGTCATTCATTCACCTTATTGGCATATTGTACATCACTCATCAGAAAAATTAAATCCATTTAAGATAATTCAGCAGCTTTTGTTTGAAGGCCGTTAACAATAATGAATATGAAATAACTTTTTCGATTCATTTGATAAAGGTTTCAATCGGGACAATAACTACCCCAATGCTAGATACGATAGATGTTGATTCATTTGAATAGCTACTGCGTTTAGAAAGTTTGTGTGCTCAACGTCTTTCCCTCACACTGCAAACGACGTTCGAAGTGAGATCTCATCAGAACTCTCAATCGCTTATAATATCCTTAGTTTTAGTGGTTGAAGGCTGTCCCAGCTTTGAGGCACGAATGTGAAATTGAGGAATTCCTTTACCGGTTGACAACCGGAGTGCATCAGCCACCAGCCAAACGGTGGATTTTACCAGACAGGGGGTGCGGCGTGACAAACGACCTCGTCATCTTGCGTTCTATTTACCTCCTCCCTGTGGCACAGTCAACGTCATCACGCAAATTCTCATCATTGGTGTGTGTGTGTACCGTGTGAGTGGTCTGAAGCCGAAACATTGTTGGTTGTTAGGCTGCACCGGGTTCAACGGAAAACAGCAGTTAATTAACCTCTTGAATAATCTCGTTTTTGTTTAATGGGTTTGGTCCATCCAACTGGCCCATTCACGGTGTCTTCACTACTACAGTCCCTATTTTATACGTCTGGCTGTGAGGAATGTGAACGTGTGTGTGTGTGTGCACGCGCGCGCGTTCGAGCGCAATCGGTGCACCTCAGTTGACCAAAGAAACACCCCTACCCATCCTTCAATTTACCTCGTCAGTAGATGGCGCGCCAGTGGATAGGGTAAATCTCTGGTCCAGTTCATTGCTTCCACAAATGACGAATGAAAAACATTTTTGACTTATTCTCCTCTGCCCAACAGGTCGGTCCTGGTGGTAGTAGTAGTAGTAGTCATAAATGTCTTTAGGTGTCTGTGTTTTGCATGACTCAGTAGCAAATAGGTTGAACGTCTCGAGAAACGAGACCACGCATTTGTTTGACCTTATATTCTCGAAAGATCAACTCGGAGAACGATTTGAAATTGCTTGATCTCGATTTACGCGCATGAGTGTTTCAATCCGATCGAGGTGTTTTATGGTTGAGAAAAATGCCCCACAGATCTGATGGAAATAAATGATCAAATTTATGAGAAGCTAATTGGCGTTTTTAATTCAAAGATTTATCAGACAAAAAGATCTTCTGAGCGGGAGTGGAAGAACCGATCGTTCGGTTTCCCATTCTCCATAATGTGAACTAGATTCCCCACTCAAAATTATTTTTTCTGTTCATTTTATATGACTTTACATGTAAACAATTTGCGAATGCTACTGTTTAGTGACTAGATAGTGTTTCTGAGGCTTCCGTTGTCAAAACGCATGAACAAATGCGTACAATAACTACACTTGAGAACGGAACGGATGAAAGCCATTTGCTTGTGTTTTTCTGCTCGACAGAGACAAGTCCGGACTAAATACCACACCGGAAACGATAGATATGATCTATATTCCTTCAAGTTTCTTAATTTAGTATTGCCATTTTTTGTAAGTAATATCTCTACCCTCCCGCATTTCAATCGAGTGATATAAATTGGGATGTATTAGACAAAGAAAACGAATCACTGAAAACAAGTGTTGTTCGCTACATTGGGTTCTATTCAAAAGAGGCAAGAGAATGCGATTGAATATTTTCGATCGATTTATTAGTCCAGACAATTCAAGTGTGAGAGAAAATACTATGTTTTATTTGGTTTTCCACTCGCAAGTTCTCCTGTCTCCAAACAGAGCTATATAATTGGTATATTGACCCAAAGGATGAAAAGCTCTTTAGAGAATACACGCTACAACTGATAGCGTGGTGCCTCGTATGTGATTGATGAAGCCTCTGGGGATTCCGTCGCATAATGTTTGTGACGATCAACAGAATACGATAGTTTATGATTGTCCTGATTCACTTAGGTATCATAAAATCAACTTGACTGTCGCGTTAAATCAAAAGAACGAAATGCTGAGTGCATTTAGATGTCTAACTAAAATAAGAAACAGATTAAAAAAGGTCAACAGGGGTAGTCGAATTTGCTTAAGTGAACAAAGCAAGTGGATGAGGAAGTAAAACCCAAACCCATGGATATCACTGTTGGCTAGATCCTTGGATGCTGGAGCTTCGATTGGGGAAGACAGGAAGATAACCAATCACAATCGAAAATCTTTCGCTGTATTGTATTCACTTGAAACAAAGCGCTTGTATGGAAAAGGAACTGGATTTTTTCTAGACATGGATTTTTGCAAATAACTATGGAAAAGAACTTTTATGATACCTATTATTTTTGGACAAGTAACTGAATATTTGAAAAGCAATCGATTCTTGGGGTATTGTCCATCTAGTGAAAACTTCCAACAAATTTAAATAGATATGAAGTTTAATCCCGACAGTTGTATCCGACACCGATGGGTTTTCAGACATTAAAGTGGACACTACCGTACAAAATGGGTTTTATAAACAAATTCTTTTGATAAAAACGGACGCGCAAGTTTGATTGC